TTCTCCTCTTCTCTCTCACTCTCTCCCTCTCTCTTTTTTTCCAAGATCACTCTCTCTCACTCCTCTAGTGAATGGCTGAAAATGTATATAATGAGGGGGAGAAGTGTGCATATATATATATAGAGTTGGGTCTGACTGGCGGGGCCTTGGATTGCAATAAAGGTTAATTATGTATTACAAAAGTTGCTTTAGTTTGAAGAGATTATAAAAATTAAAGGTAGCAAAAAAAAATTTCCCTCAAAAAATTGAATCTCAATCAACGAGGATAAGTAACCAATGAGATGGTGTTTCATTTCTGAATTTGTTTTGAACATAAAGTCATCCATGAGTCTACTGCAGTCATTGATCAACTCTTTACATACATAGGCAAGGTTGGTCCATTGCGTTTTGTTGTTCTTCATTGCAGGCCTGTCAGAGGAAGTCACTTGCTCTTTGCCACCGTCTTCTCTTTTTCTTCTCTATTCCAGATCTATTTGATATCTCCATCCAATACAATGAAAATAGCGAATTCATCACACAAAAAAACACAAAAAACCCATGCTGTATTGTGCCCTCCTCATAGAAAAAATCTATTTTAATGGACTTCATACATTAAAAATGGTTGAAGTGTCCTTTTTTCATTACAAACTATATTGAAGAATTATTGACCAAACTTCCCTTACTTGTTTCAACCCATCAATCGTTCTTAGTTGTCACTTGAGCGGTTTTTTCCGGTAGCTAATTATTTTGATAGAAAACCCAGATTTTCAAATTTTATTTTTTGTTTTTTTATTATCAGCGAAAGAAAAATTCATTGATGTAACATAGAACATAAGAAGTACATAAAAATTACATTAAAAAGCCAAGAGGGCATTGGCATCTAGAATCATATCGCAATCCCAACTCTGTTGACACATGCACTCAAGCCAAGCATATGCTACGCCAAAAAGCCAACATCGGAAAAAAACAGACCCAAGCTCAATCTTCCCTAAAACTCTTAACGACTTCATCTAGTGATTTGTTATGTGCTTGCTGAGATCAGAGTCCAAGCTACAAATGGGTTTAGTCTTTTGGCATGGAGAATCCTCTTTGACATCAATCACAGCCTATTATCAAATCAAAGCCTTACATAAAATGTTAGCATTAATTTTTTTGGTGTGTGTTCTAAATAATGTATGTTGGGTTTTGATGTTAAGCATATGGTTCTGAAATTTCTCCCTAACAGATTGGGCTAGTGATTATTGTGCACTTGTAGGCTCCCCAATTCCGTAACAACCTTAGTCTTAGAAAATTTATGCAATAAAAAAAATGAAATATAAAATTATGAATTTTTAGACAATGCTAAAACAATTTGTAACACAATGTAAAATAGAAGAGTACTAAAAAACAAACAAATAAATAAATAAAAAGGGAGAAGTTTAGGTGTGAAATTGAGAGGGGCGTCCTACCGTTATTGTTTCCCCCACGCACATGAAGTTAAAAGCGGATTACAACGGCCGTAAGACAAAACTTTCTCACACCCTTCACAACTTTCCTTGCCCAATGTTCATGTTTATCAAGAAAGTTATGAACTAGTCACAAAGTAGCCAAAAAATTCAGGGAGAAATCCGTTTATGTACAACATTTCTCTAAAAAAATTGAAGATTCCATCATCTATTCTTAATTTCTTCATATATATATATATATATATATATAACTTCTTTATATGTTTTACAAATAAATTGTGATTGTTTAATAAAATATGATAGTATGAGAAATATGCTTAATATTACTCAATTTTCAATCTCTAAATTACTTTTGTTTTTATATTTTTACTAGAACACATGCGCGCGTGCACACTCATATATATATATATATATATATAGATAAACTAGTGGTGTGTGAAAATTTAATTTTGGGAGGGGCTACATTCCTCCATAAACATCTAAATTCTTACAATTTTGCTCCCATCATAATTCCTGTAATTAATAATTATTATTATATATTAATAATTAAAATCATAAACTTTTTTATAATTTTATAATATTTTTTTTATTGGATAACTGATTGGTCCATAGAAAAATTACAACCCTATTGAAAAATATAAAAATATTATGTAAAGTTGCTTTGAGTGCAAGCCCACCTAATTTTTAAGCAAAATAACTATAATATCACCTACAGCTATTCAGAGATTGCAGAAATGACCTCTAGCCGAATTTTGGCGCAATTTAAGTCTCATTTTAATTCGTACACTCCATTTGTAAGTAACTAGCAATTTTACAGATGTAGAAACCATCCAGAAATGTCCCATGGTCTGAACTTGGTATGCTATGCTTGATTTATTTTGATATTAGTTAATTTTACATATTCAAAAAACTATTCAGAATTGTCGACATAAGCAGGGGTCTAACATTTATTTGGTTTTATCTTCTCACAGATACCAAAAAAATTAATGCTAACATTTCATATAAGGTTTTGATTTGATAATAGGCTGTGATTGATATCAAAGAGGATTCTCCATGCCAAAAGAGTAAGCCCATTTGTAGCTTGGACTCTGATCTCAGAAGTTATTTGTTGGAAAAGAACCAACATTCTCTCTTTTCACTAATCCAATCTGGAAATTCACCATAGAAACTAGATGAAGTTGTTAAGAGTTTTTGGGAAGATTGAGCTTTTGTTTGGTTTTTTCCGATGTTGGTTTTTTAGCGTAGCATATGCTTGGCTTGAGTGCATGTGTCAACCAATTGGGATTTGGATATGATTCTAGATGCTAATGCCCTCTTTAGCCCTCTTGGCTTTTTGATGTAATTTTTATGTACTCCTTTACTCTATATTACATCAATGAATTTTCCTTTCGCTGATAATAAAAAATAAAAAATAAAAATTGAACATCTGAGTTTTCTCTCAAAATAATTAGCCACAAGTGAAAACCGCTCAAGTGACAACTAAGAATGATTTATGGGTTGAAACAAATAAGGGAAATTTGGTCAATAATTCTTCAACATAGTTTGTAATGAAAAAAGGACACTTCAATCATTTTTAATGTATGAAGTCCATTAAAATAGATTTTTTCTGTGAGGAGGACACAGTACAGCATGGGTTTTTGCGTTTTTTTTGTGTGATGAGTTCACTATTTTCATTGCATTGGATGGAGATATCAAATAGTTCTGGAATAGAGAAGAAAAAGAGAAGACGGTGGCAAAGAGCATGTGGCTTCCTATGACAGGCCTGCAATGAAAAACACCAAAACGCAATGGACCAACCTTGCCTATGTATGTAAAGAGTTGATCAATGACTGCAGTTGACTCGTGGATAGCTTTATATTCAAAACAAATTCAGAAATGCAACACCATCCCACTGGTTACTCATCCTCACTGATTGAGATTCAATTTTTTGAGGGAAATTTCTTTTTTGCTACCTTCAATTTTTATAATCTCTTTAAACTGATGCAACTTTTGTCATATGTCATTAACCTTTATTGCAATTCAAGACCCAGTCAGTCAAACCCAACTATTTATTTGGTATGAGTATACATGATCTTTTTTTTCGTACTTAAGCTCTCAAACTAATCTTTTTTATTGTGACAGATTAGTAGCGTAAATTAATATGGAGTTAGGATTGATGGCTTCAAGTTTAGTGAATCGGTTTATATTTGACAATACTTTATTCAAATTTGGTCATTTCGATTTCTATAGTCCTTTGATATGTTCCTCGGTAAAAATAAAATGCAATCTAGTAACTTGTGGGCAAAATGATCGATTGCCAAGTTATAAACCAATAATTCACAACCAATATGAAATGTCAAATCCGATATATGGAGGCACCTCAAAAGCGCGTGGTGTACAGCCACTTACAAAGCCACTTACAAAACATATGTACAATTCAAAAGAAATGACATAGCTAGAATAAGTCTTCATGTACAAGTGGTATTCTATTATATGCCGAGAAGTCCAAAAAAACAATTTCAAAGTCTCCACAAGCTCTCCTACCTGAAATGATTAAACAACGGGTAGGAACACGCTCAGTAAATAGTTTAATCACTGAAGTAGCTTTAATTCTTTTGTGTCACGCAAATTTTCTACTTTGGGATCATTTTCAAGAATTAGTACACAAGCAATGTTTCCGCATGAAGATAACAATTAACATGCTTCAGAAATAAATTAAGTACAAGTTCTTGACAAGAGTACGTGATACAAGATATCTAGATAAATCATTAAGGCGTTAGATGCTAATCCATCAGCAAAAACAAAAACAAGTAGGCTCGCATCGACTCAATCCACAACAAGACTACTAAAAGTGATAAAGCTGCATGTGCAGTATTAAACCACCCATGTACAAGACTTTGGTCTACATCTGCAAGACTATGGTCAGTAACTACCTTGGTTGGTTGTCAAACATGCCGAAGCTAAAGCCAGCAACAAGCTTCTCAAACAAATAACAACTTGAATACACAATTACACTGGTTGTACCCATGATCCGATTTGAAGATTAATTTTGTGAGTCCTCTGATTTTTTGATTTTGTTTATATACAAACTTAGATCAACGATCTCAAATCTGTTTGATATATATATATATATACTTATGTCTATTGATCGCGATTGATTTTTATTCTATTGATCGATTTTTAGGCAAATCTCGATTGATTGATTTTTAATTTATTGATTGAGATCGAACACACTTCTCTGAATTTTCCCCTATTTTTCCTTTTCTTTTTTTTTCTCCCCTTGTCCTTATAATCAGTCTGTTACTTAAACTATTTTGTTCTATCTTTTTGACATATCATTGTTAATTTGGTTGTACTGGCAACTCTCTTTTAGGAGAACACCAATTTTACCTATTCTGCTGTATTGTTGCTCTTGAGTTAGGTCTCATAGATTCATTCAATAAGAATTTATTGATGAAATGGAAAGGAGGCATTTCTAGTCAATTTCTGAATTTCTTGTTCCTGATGCTTTAATTCTATATCTTGTTTATCTTTTAATCTTTGTATGTTAATTTTTTTGATTTGTTTGGTTTTCTTCTCAGGGGGTATGTTTTAAAATCAGAAAATATGGAGAAGTTTTTTGACTAAATCAATAATCAATGATGACAAATATTAGGGGGAAAAGAAGGGGCCAGAATCTAGCAAACTATCTTGTTTAGAAAGTAATAGTTAATCCAGCATTATTCTAATGATAAGTCTTTTTTCTTCTATGATTTTAGGAGTTCAATAAGTATGACAGAGAACCAGCTAAATACATCAAGCAATATCAAGGAATCAAACCAAGGACAGGGGCACCATACTCTTGTATTTTAGGAATCAGAGTTGCTTTGAGTTTCATTCCGGCTTATGTAGATGCTGGACTATTGATTTTCCTAATTTTTTGTTTTTCTCTCTCTTTCGATCTATATGTTAGCTGTCCCTGAAATCTGAACTTGAGCATAATGCAATATCTCCATCCAAACCGCCTCTGCACACTAAGGTTAGTTTCTCACAAGTCTTGTGACAGATAGAGTTTATATGTTGCATCGTTTTATAGTCACACAAGTGCTTTCATTGTTTTATAATAGGGATCTAAAGAGAATATTCCGGGTTCCTTAAAACAAGTAGTTCAGGTATCATAGCATGGAAGATGGAACCTTTTTATTATGTTCAATTCTAAACCCAATAATAAATTCTAAGTTCATAACCTCCAGAGGTATGGGAGGAAGCTGAGCCATTGTGGGAGCGAGTGGATGATCCCTGAAATTGGACCCCGGCCGAACATCTACAGGTACACCATGCCTGATTTACTTAATCTGTTACAATCACTTCGTTTACATTCACTTCGTTTGGATATATAGTTCAACCTGACAAGCTTCTAGTTTTATGACTGATTTCTGCCATCTTAATCTTTTGAGCTAAAAATGTAAAGTTCTTAAGTTGAAAAACTTTAATCCTGCTCTAATTTGGACAAGCTTTTCTACTTATTCTTTATAACATTGCAGCCTCATGTTCAACATGGACTAATAACACTACGTGATTTTTTTGTGGGAAGTGTCATGATGGTTCTTGTTTGATCTTTCTCAAGAAATGTAGATTTGGCCCAGATGAAATTTGACATTTGTTACTAGTGTATATTCCACATAACATAGCTACAAATGCTTAAGTAAACCTAGGATCATTTTAGACAATGGAATTGTCATTCGTTGCGAAACCTTGTAATTCACTGAAAACAAAAGACAGGAATGAGTTGCATACGCTAAAGCGGTGTTCTTTGTGTTCCGCCTACTCTACTTTTTGTTTTTGGCAGAATATTTGATGTGATACATTTCAACTGCAGTCTGCAAATCAGTTTGAAAGAAGTAGACAATGCAATTTGTTAGAAATGTAATATGCACTAAGAATTCTTTTTCCTCATCTTGCTAAACTCCAGCATTAATTTACTTATAACGAAACAAAATTTGGTAGGGAAGCAATAGCTTGCATCTATCTAACATGTTAGACATGACATATACACTTTGGAAGATATTCTGCATCTCAATGTTTAACCTCCCATGTTAATGAATCATCCAATTATGTTCTAAACACAAGAAGGAATCAATTTTTTGAATTTCATAGGAAGAAACAAGGATCCATTATATTTCTTTGATTGAAATGCAACAGGAGCAGGAGCATGAACATCCGCTGAGAGCAAGAGGAGTTTCTCCAATGGCTGGTATACAATAAATTAAAAGTGCTTTCTGTTTTTGTAAGAGGGTCAGAAAGGTTTAAACTTATGTTTCTCTCTCTGAATTGTGCATGTGCAGCTTTCTTTTACTGTGAGGTGGATGGAAGCTCCCTTTGTTTGCAGTGCGATATGATCGTTCATGTAGGAGGTAAAAGAATCCATGGAAGATATCTTGTATTGAGGCAGAGAATTGAGGTTTGTTTCTGTGGGATAGAACTGGATCATATTTATTCTTCTGAATGTTATGCTAAGACTGTTACAATTTTTTCTTCCCTCGGTTTTATGACAGGGTTCCAGAGTCAGCTATGAATGCCAACACGAAGACAAATATGATGGATTTGAATTGCAGTCACATCAGATACATGAACAGGCTTCAAATAATCAGGTTAGATTGTCTCCGTTGTTTATCTATTAGAAACAGATATTGTGTTGTATGATGGATTTGAATTGCAGTCACATCAGATACATGAACAGGCTTCAAATAATCAGGTTAGATTGTCTCCGTTGTTTTTCTATTTGAAACAGATTTTGAATTTTGTTTTAATTTGAACTTTATTAACAAATCAGTGTCCCACTGGAATGGTTACACTTTGCATTAGCATTTGAATACACTTATTGTCCATATCAATTGGACTGCACTACTCCATTCAAATGTATAAATCATGGACAGGTTTAAAATGATATATCTGACAACTGAAGATATCAGAATTAGTTTTCTAAATGGATCAATTTGGTGTGTAAAACTAAACTAAGTCTTGTGTTCCAATCAAGTAGAGTTAGCTACATGAATCTTTTGTCACCGTCCTGCTCTGTCAAAGGCTATATCTTCAATTAAATTAAATAAATTGTTATCCTTTTTTTACTACCACATCCCATGTCATAATAGGTCATTCCCTTCCCTTAACATTTCCATTTATGGTAATCATATTGCTCTTCTTTACTTTTGCATCTATAGGTATTTGTTGCATCTATGGTGTATGTATATATAAATGGTGGTGGTTAGACTGAGAATCTCAAGTGTATTTGAAATGGATCAAAAATATTTGAAAAGGAAAATTAAAAAAAATAAAAATTTGAAGTAAATACAAGATATCAAGGACACTTGAAGCATATAATTTCTTGTTGTAAATGGGCTTAGCAAAAGGAGAGAAACAAAAGTAGGGGATCCTAGACTGTTATATGCTTAAGAGTAGTATGCATATCTGCAAAATTACATTTCTATATTCAAATATGATATCCTGAGTATGTCACTTTTTTTTTTTTTAAATGGATTTGTGAATCACTACTTGTTGCAAACCCTGGAAGATCCTTAGTTGTTACTTGTTATACCTGGAAAAATAAAAGCTGCTATTTATTTATCACTGGTTTAGCAGTTAAAACTCAGCATATCAACCTTAAGGTTGTGGGTTTGAACTTGAAATAATGCCTTAAAGTTAGGTCTATACCCAATTATTGCAATTACAAATTTTGGTATGTTTATTGGGACGGGAAGATGGTTTGAGGTTATGAGATACATAGGATTCATGTTCCCGTTCTTACAAGGTACAACCTGGTACATATAGGACTAGGACCATTTTATTTCCATTTCTATGTATTGGTATAGTGTATTCATTATTGAGTATGCTACATTGCCTGATAGCATTTCTATGGAACATTTTGTTCTTAATACAGGAATTGTGAATCTGGAAGCATGGGTTCCTCCGGGCTGTCTCAGTAATAGTTTCAGAATCTCAATCTAGAAACATTGTGATGATGAATATGGTGTTCCACAATATCTGTTGTTTGTACTGATGGAGATTAAATTTCTTCATAGATAGGTTGTTTAGATGTAGATGGTGATATGTTCTACAGGAGAGAGAGTCGATTTGTGTTTTAAGACAATTCTAATTGCCTTCTATATTAGATTGTTGTTGGATGATGTGACACTGTGCATGAGGTGGCTGCTTGGTTTTTTGGAATTGAACTTGTTGGATGTTTTTCATGAAGGATGTTGTATTGGGTGCTATTATAGATGTGAGGGAATAGTAATTAAACAAATATGTCTATACAAAGTTTTATTCATTATTGTTATTTTACAGGTATTTTTTTTAAGTTACATCTCACAGAATTAGTAGTTAAAAAAAAAATTTGAATCCATTTAAAAAAAAAAAAATTTGAATCTATTGCGGCGTTTTTTAAACGCCACTATAGTTATATCTTTAAAATGACAAAAAAGCTATTACGACGTTTTTGAAGCGTCGCTGAACACCTGTGATGTCATGTTACTGTTTAGTTGTCACATTTAGCGGCGTTTTGATAAACGCCGCCTAAAATAAATCTCACGACATTTTTTAAGCGCCATAAGCCTATAGCGACGGCCGCGTCGTCGGCGTTTGATGGTAAGCGTCACAAAAGGAATTAGCGGCGTTTTTTAAACATATAGCGGTGTTTGCAAAAAATCATTTTTCCAGCAGTGACAAGTTCTTGACAAGAGTACGTGATACAAGATATCTAGATAAATCATAAGGCGTTAGATGCTAATCCATCAGCAAAAACAAAAACAAGTAGGCTCGCATTGACTCAATCCACAACAAGACTACTAAAAGTGATAAAGCTGCATGTGCAGTATTAAACCACTCATGTACAAGACTTTGGTCTACATCTGCAAGACTATGGTTAGTAACTACCTTGGTTAGTTGTCAAACATGCCGAAGCTAAAGCCAGCAACAAGCTTCTCAAACAAATAACAACTTGAATACACAATTACACTGGTTGTACCCATGAGTGTGTAAATCTTTATACGAAGTGTCTCATTCCCTCCCTAGGAGTCACATTCAACTCTACTTGCCTAACAAGTATGTCCCAATCAACAATATTACGTCCCTAATTTATCACCCAAAATGATTCCTAATATTTTATTAGATCAGATTTCTGTCAACCGTTTATTTTTTCACTGTCCATTCTTTTTTTTATACAAAACTAATTTGATCACATAGCTATCGATATTCAATCAACGTGATTTTTTTAATAGTTATATAGTACTCAACGAGTTCTACACATTTAACGGTTTAGATTATCAAAACGGGACCCATGATGGCCACCACGGGGCAAACAGCACCGTCCAATACAATGTCCAAAAAGTAGGCAACTATTTCTTATGTCAATCTTCTCTGCCAGACAGGTTGGTCGTACTGCTACTTTCCCAAACTTCTCCTACACACTTTCTCATACAATTTTTAATACATATTTTTTTCTGATAACATACATGGGACAGAACATTTCAAAACTTATTTATATATACATAAACATGCCAGTCAAAGGACACCACTATTTACAAAGTATTTACAGAAGTACACATCTCAAGACCTGACTTTACAGGACAGTCACAGAGACTAGCATGAATACAAAAACAACCATATAACGAGACTTCGATCGGAACCTCCTCGGGAGGCACAATGGTTAGCTGACAAAAGCAGGATAGAAGGCCGTCATGTTTTGATGGCGGACCAAATGAGTTCTGTGAAGTTCTATGCAAGTATGCTGTGGAGCGTGGATTCCAATTCAAGTACATTAAAAATGATTCCGTTCGCATTATAGCCGTGTGTAAGTTCGTAGAGGCCATAGGGTGTAAATGGTCAGTTCATGCGAGGATGTTACCATCAAACGGTGTGTTATGCGTTAAGAGGTTCAATAGTGTGCACACTTGTGGCGTTGCTGTACGCACTTACAGGAACCCGCGTACAAGGTCTGATTTGGTGTCAAATGTTGTTGCGGATCGAGTGCGTGATCAACCTTTGACACGCCCTACGGATGTGGTGTTCGATTTGAGAAACGAGTATGGATTGGAGATTAGTTACCGGGTGACATGGTTGGGTGTAGAGAAAGCGAGGGGTGAAATGTATGGGGATCACGCTATGTCGTTCGACCAACTCAGGTGGTACAGCGATTATGTTATGGAAAAAAACCCAAACAGTTACATTAACCTTGACTTCGAACAGAATACCGGGCGGTTTGTTAGGTATTTCATTTCATTCCGTGCGTATATAGATGGATTCAAGCATTGTCGACCTTTGTTGTTTTTGAATGGAACGTTTTTGAAAGGCAGGTTCAAAGGTAATATACTTGCCGCCACTGCGAAAGACGGCAATCAAGGTAATTTCATGGTATCGACATGTTTCAAAAATAAAATTACGAAAAATAAATTTACCCACACCATTTTTTTCTTTAATCAGGTTGGCATGGAATTGACACCATTGTTGGTATTGGGAAACATATTCACATGGTCATTCACTGTTTTTTAAAATTTGTAATATATGACATTACACATACTAGAACCGTTAACTGTTATATGACATTAGACATTTGCACAACTTTTTATTGATATGTAACTTCCCTGCCAACAACATTTGAACGTGGGGGTTTCATGTGTTTCATGCTTTGGATGTAGGATTATTCCCTGTGGTGTTTGCGGTGGTAATTCTGAAAATGCAGCCAATTGGGAATGGTTTCTTTGGAATTTGAAACAAGTTATTGGTGGAGACCGTACTCTGACGTTCATATCTGACTGTCACGCTGGCTTATTGCAGTCTATGTTAAACATATTCCCGTCAACACATCACGTAAATTGTTTGTTGCATCTCCAAATGAATTTACGAGACCATATGAAATATGTTAATGCGACCCACAAAATTGGGTTGATGTGCAAATTGAGGGAATGTGCCTACGCGCCCACTGTTGATTGTTTCACTGAGAAAATGGATGTTTTGAAGAAGTGTAGCCCGGTTGTGATTGAAGGTTTTATGAAAGACTTGGACCCCAAACATTGGGCTAACGCGTATTTCAAGTAATATACATTTCCGTTTAATGGGTTACAATAGTGCACCGTTGCTTTTTTGGATTTATGTTTTCGTGCTTGGCATGTTTACCCATCGGTTCCGTTTATTTTCCAGGAGGCAACGGTATGGTGAAATATGTTCAAACGCTGCCGAGTCCTTCAGTAATTGGGTCAGTGAGGTGCGCCATCTTCCTATTACTCGCCTAGTATATATGATACGGGTTTAAATAATGGAGCAAATGGCAGGCTGTAGAGTTAAAAGCACGACATAGGCCGGCATATTATGCCCAAAAATGGAGAAGAAGTTGGTGGCGGCATATAACGATAGCAGGCCGTGGTGTGTTAGTCAGGCAAATAATGATGTGTACGAGGTTCACTCCCACCCATCGGTGTTGGTTGATGTCGGCAAGCAGACATGTTCTTGTTTTCAGTGGCAGATAAATGGGTTTCCGTGTTCCCATGTCGTTGTCGCATTTTGTAATAGTGAGATAAACATTTACGATTCGATAGACCGTGCATTCTACATCGATACATTTCGTGCTATGTACAGCGGGACAATATATCCCATCCCAACAGTTGAGAAGCCGATGTTCAACCCAACTGAATATTTTATAGCACCGTCGAAGGTGAAGCGTCCGCATGGTAGGCCCAAATGGAAGAGAATTCCTTCTAAGGGCGAGGTAGTGCAACGTATTCGTTGTGGACGTTGCAGAAAATTGGGCAATCACAATAGGAAGACATGCAAAGAGCCGTTATAGACGGTCTGCCATATGATTTAATTTTGTTTCCGACAAACTGGGGTTGTGTTGGACTACCGTATTATGATTTAATTTTGGTTGTTCGAATTGTTTTTTGAACTGTTTTCAATTGGTCATTCATTTTATGTTTTGGACTTAATAAATTTGGTACGACGTACTTATATCTATCCCAGCTATTATTTTGGTTCCCACTATTAAACAATCACACATGGAAGCTTTAATACCCCACCTTCGGGTTGATTACATTATGGCGTTGCAACACCAATGGTTGCGGTTTGTTTGCAACCTGTGTATATCATACACATACATGAACCCAAAACCCACTGTGGAATACTATTTCAACGCCAAATGGTCTCTCCATAATTATTTTTATAATGTCAATGGCAATTTAATCTGGTGTGGTCCCTTTTTTGTATTGGGGTGAGGAAATGGTCTTTTTGTCATTTGTAATGGTGTTCATTATCATGATCTTGTAAAGGGTACATACATGGTGGGTTTTGTTTTTTATACATTGGCAGCGGTAATGGTGTTTAATGGTTGTGTTTTTTTAACAAAAAAATTCCTTTACTTACTGTACGTGGAGGGTTTGAGCATATTTTCAAATTTACGTAACGGATTTTCGGTTGTAAATTGTCTTCCTGCCAACGGGTGTTTCGCTTGGGTGGATATGTACTGTATCTTCGTTACGTCATGACTGTCGTTACGTTTTGTAAGTTCAATTTCTATTTGTGGTGCTCATTATTAAAATTAACATATTGAAATGTTACTCATGGCTAGGTTAACATTCATTGGGTAAATTTAATCCCAATATGTATGCTTATTAGACGTGCTAATTTTGTACGATTGGTATTGGTTGAATGTAGTTCGGTATGGTTGGAATACACATAACTGTGCGTTTCAGTTTGGAGGTTCAGCTGTGTACACCATACATAACCATAAAACCAAACATGATTACAAATCAATTTTTAATACCGAATATCACACACCCATACGGTTACAAACAAATATCCAGCAGTTACGGGAATGTAATCTATTCCCTGCATTGTCTACAGATTAATATACATTCATCAACAACACGTAAAACATTGAATATCAAACCAACCCATGTTGTTTTTCCTAACATACAATACAATCAAACACAAATTCAACACAAACACATTGACATGATGCGCTTTGTCTTCGCATGTCAACTTCCATAGACATCAAGCCATGTTTAATCCCATGGTGGCCAAACATGTTTCTCTAACACACACTGATTGCATGTCAACTTTCACATAGCTCATACCATATTCACATACACAGTTGCGTATGGCATTGCGAACCAATGTTTCATAAATGCACATAAATAATATAACATTCTGTTTTCATTACTCGGCCATAATCATCACCATTCACCAATATAGTAACAGACTCCTACCACCGCAAATTAGCCAACAACCATTCATAAGGACGATGATGTTTTAGTCAGAATGTATAGAATAACTTTTTATGACATAATGTCCGAAGCTAATAATATGGAATAGAATTAACTGTTATGGCAAATAATGTCAACGTTAACCTCAAAAACACAAAACAATTATATACGTCGACAACGACTTCAAAAATAAAACACCCAACTTAGGTTGCTGCAGATTTTGGCCACTTATTTTCCATCCTAACGTTTTGATTTCGCACATTAACAAAACAAATATGTATGTTGACAAAACTTCAAAAATAAAACAACCTATTTAGGTTGTTGCAGCATCTAGTACGAGTCTGGTGAACACTTTTTACAATGTCCTTGCACGGAGTCCTCTTTCTGGGTCATTCAAGAACATGTCCACCATCGCAACGCATAGCCCAATGGGTGTGAGACCGTCCATGGTTGTATCAACTTCTGCCCCACGGATGTACTGCTTGATAATGAAACACACAAAAATCCCGTAATCCGACCTCCATTCACAGACATTACATCATCAACTCAATGAACTCAATACATCACTTACTCAATACATTATCAAATCAATGAACTCAATGTAATATTAACATTACTTACGACTCCGGAACTTGTTGCGGGCAATCCACAACAGATACAAAATTGCCATCATAAACATCTGCCCCAACACCCTCAGTTGTAACCCTTGGCTTCACAAATTTGTTGTGGTGTTCGGCCACCCATTGTTTCTGTTGATTTTTCACATGTTAGTGTAGTTGTGTACACGGTAACATTAAAACTTCCAAAATTACAATTCGCCAATTATGCACATTCAAAACTAAAATTGATAAATAGTACTTATAACTTTTAGAGCCTCATTGTAATGCTCATCGCGCACTCCACGTCTTGGCCTCAATAAGTTGTAATGTTTCCAATTCCCGCTTTCTGAATCATGTGCCATGACTGTCCAATGGTTGGCATTGTAGATTGGGAAAAGTGTGTATCTGCAACCTCGCGCAGCCTTCATGTGAACGTTCAAGTACTTCATTCGTGATACAGCGTTACTGTTTTGCATCATATCCTGCACAATTGTCCAAAACTACCATAGTCGTATCAGATTTCATTACGACAAATATTATTTTCAAATTTTGTGTAATCAAACGATAGTCACCATACATACCGAACATACGCTAGTGTAAATGTATGATGTGCCAACATATTCTGGTCTACTAGACACCATCCTATGCATTTCAGTCAACATTGCAGCGTATGCATCGATTACCTACACCATATGTTACCCATTACAATTCCAGTGTACTAGTAATAAGAATTTGTAAATTTATGTCCACTATGTGATACTAGCTGTAGACAACCCATTTTTGACCGTCCTCAAGACTTGGACGTCGTCATTTGAACACTCGATGATCATCCATGCTCGTGTTTGTTTTGAGTTCTCGGAGGTCTCAGCTACGCGCCTTGCCACAAGATCTCTCAACTTGTCTGTTTTGTGCTTGGTTATGGACCAAACACTTGTATTTTTGCTTCTAAGGGAAGAGGGTGGCTTGTTTGCCATCCCCTCAACCCACTGACCAAGGCTTGAAGACATCGGCACTGTCTCCCTGCCATCGGCCAAAAGTATTGGCCGATCGACACTTTATTTAGTCGGTCGGCCGTTGTGTTGGTCGATCGGCCATTTTTGCTAGTCGAAACCTGTTCATCTACTTTATGCAGATATTTTGTGCCAGCTGTGCTAGCTGGCACCCATTATTAACACCCTCCATACACGTGTATGGAGGGATTTGCCCCTTGCTTAGCTTCTCTTAGAAGCTTCAGAATTTGGAATTCTATAAGAGGGGAGGCCTCCCTTCTCAGAGGTTCTAAAATTTAGGGTTAGGAGTTTTATATCTATCTATCTCTATATCTCCCTCTCTTTTGATTTTGTGTGTATTTGAGCTCAAAAGGGTGTTTTGTTCACACTATTGCACACAAACATCTAGTAATACACTATCCTTGGTTGCTGAGGCACTAGGAGGTTAATTTTAGTGTTCTTCGGTGGGTTTGAACTCAGAAAACCTGCTGGAGCTTTGTTCTTGAAGAGGTTCTACAAGGGTGAGTTCCTTGCTTTAGATACCCCTTTCTTGCTAAGGCTTTTAGCCCTTCTTGCTTATTGTTTTAAGCTTTGACTATAACTGATAAAAGTTCTGATTTTTCTTGCTTCAGAACTTTGTTTAATTTCATTTTGAGGTTTGGGGTTGTTTACCCCCCTCCAAGGCCTTGTTAGGCCTTGTTTTAGGCCATCCCTTTTGGCCCTTGCTTTGAGCTTTACCTGACCTCTCTACCACTGAAATCCAAAGGATTTTCAGTGGTGGAGAGGTGGTTTTGGTGTCCTAAATAGGAGAGGGTCATCCCCTTTCCTTATTGTCTTTAATGCTTGCATAAATCACTTATGTTTGTAGCATGTATGCTTAGCTTGTTTTAGATTCATTTCAGTATATATTAGGCTTTGTTTTGCCATGATATAGCACTGTTTCAACTTGGTCTAGACATATTATGCATGCTTCATGTACTTGTCTTGTAATCCCATAATTTGGCCTAACATGCATCATGTTATGACATGCTATTTTAGCATGATTTTGGCTTAACTTCATGAAGATTCTATTCTTGTTTTAACATGCTAGAGCTCTATTTTTCATTGTTTCGGTCATGCTTACATTGTTTTGTATAGCTACCATACAATCTAGCTTGTTAGCTTTGGGTGCTTAAGTCACTAGCATGCTTTATTTGGGCCATTTCAATGATTTGGAATCATTTTTTATTTTATTTCAGTCCATATTTCATGCTTGTATGCTTGCATTTGTCATCCTTTCAATGCTTTGAAGAGTTGGTGTCTTATGCTCCATGGTCGGGTCATTGTGCATGTCTCCATGTTTAGATCATTTAGATGCTATCTAGGTAGGTTTTTGAGTTTGTTTTAATATACCATATCTCTGATTTTGGTTGTTTAAATCATGCCATGTTTGGTTGTATTATTTGTGGCCTTGTACGCCTCATGTTTTGCCTCTTTGTTTTAGGTTGTTTTGGCTTCGGTCATTGCTTGTTCTAGGCTCACTTTGCCTTGATTTAGGACTATTTTGGGTTATGCTTGCCATATGATCTTTGTTTTGTGTAGCTTTGGTTCAAGTCCCTTGACTAGTCTTAGGGTTTAAATCATACCATGTTGGGTTGTATTAGGTGTAGTGTAACATCTCTTTTGTGGCCTTGTATGCCTCATGTTTTGCCCCTTTGTTTTAGCTTGTTTTGGCTTTAGTCATTGCATGTCTTAGGCTCACTCTGCCATGATTTAGGACTATTTTGGATTATGCTTGCCATATGCCCTTTGTTTTGTGTAGCTCTGGTTCAAGTCCCTTGGCTAGTCTTAGGCTTTAAGCTTCAGGCATACCATGCTTGACTTGTTTATGTGACTTGGCATCACTCCTAGTATCATTTCAGAGCATGTAATGTTGTCACATTTGCATGCTTTTCATTCCTTTTAAGTGTTCTTAAAAGTTGTCCTTTTATGCTTAAGTTTTAGGCCAATTGGCATGCA